TGGAGGGTGCTGCGGCCACCCAGCGGCCCTGTGGAGCCTTTCTGCCTCCTCTCCCCTGAGGGGGAGCCGCCAGGCTTCTCCCCCTGCATGGCGAGCTGCGAAGAGTGATGGCAGCCAGCACAGGCCCCCACCCTGGCCCGCTCAGGGCACTTCTCTCTCGAGCTCGAGCTCGAGCTCGAGCTCTTCTTGGCTCCACCTGGTCAGAGTTTGCCCCATCTCCCCTGTCCTTAAATCCACCTTTCATATCTATGAGCCAGCCCTGCCTAGGAGGTATGACTGCATGCAGGCAGTACCCTTCAACTAATTCCTAGCTAAAAAAGCAAAGTGCTGTTCATTCTAATGATAGAAACGGAGGCCCTGAGGAAAAATGTTCTTAAAACTGTGAACATCATATACAGCCATTTTACCTGCACGTACAGTTTTTGCTCTACAAGGTCTTAACCTCCTTCGGATGCTCTGCAGCTCTGCCCAACAACTCATTCTGACTTCCTCCATTTCTGCCCTTCTTCCTTCATCTGTCGCTTTACGATTCTCAAATGATTGCTGAGGAGTAGCTTTTCAATCTTTTCCTTCCTTTCCAGCTTATTTTCTCTCAGTATTCCCCTATTTACCTGCTGTATGAATATCCTATGTTAAATATCCCCAAATCAGCTCAACATAGAATATTCAGAAAGGGTAAAAACTGATATAGCTATGGGCCAAGGCCAAGCAGAAGGTAGAACAGAGGTAAATAGAATGATTTAGCTCTTTCTTCTCAGTTTGGAAATGAATATTGCTGCAAACAACCATAACACTCAGCGTGGCTATTCAAAAACTGTGGTATGGACGTGATTTACTCCGTAATATTAACTATTTTCTGCTGCCTTGATCAAAAACGCACAGAACATTCTGTTCAACATTATGCAAACCCTCTTGAAAAGACTCGGGTTAGAAACCTCCCAAACAAATGAATGGTCTAGTATTTGGTAAAGATAAATACTTGATCTCACTGTGTAGAAGCAACCGAAACTGAATGTTACTGAAATGCTTTTGCAGAGAGGAGAGGAAACGTATCTGTAAGTGAAGCCAACACCCCTAACTCACCAATCCATGTCACTGTTTCTCTGTCACAAGGAGAGAAATGCAATACTTTCCTTCCTATCAAAGAGCAATTCCCAGTCAGCTGATTTATTTCAATCACATTTTTGTAATGCTGTATAGGCACAGCTTGCTGAATACAGACTTCTCTAGGACCAGGAGGCTGTATCCTCATGGGCTCACAGTGCTATAGTGCAGGGGAACCTACCTTTTACAAACATACCCCACGAAGGTGAACCTCAGAGGACCCGTTTTAGGGTAGCTGTATCACCAGCACCACTCAACTGGAGCCTCCCTACAGCTACAGTTGCACAAGCCCATTTATGGTACACCACTAGCACCTGACCAAGGCTCAGTGAAGCCAAGTAAGGGCATTCCCCAAGGATGCCTTTGAATCAGGTCCCCAAGAAAGAAATGCCCCAATAAAGCACCTTCGCTGCTCCTGCCACACTGGAACAGCTGTCTCTCTTAACCTTGACCACAGTGGCCCTCAGTAAGACAAAGAAAATATCCTTTGCGTTAGCCTGTTAGATGAGGCAAACCCACTTGCTGACCTTTCTGGGTGAACATTTTTCTAGTGTGAATGGGCCAGCTATGATCTCACTACCTTGTCAATGAAGAGGAAGTGGGGAAAGCCTTTTCAATGTTGAATCAAAAGAGGGCTTTTATGCAGTCTGACATCAGGGGAAAACACAAGACGGCTTTCCAACCCCATTGCAGGAACAGCCCAGAAGGCTCTCCAAAACCGCTCCCCCTACCTTTCCAGCAGCGACCCTCGCGCTGGGCCAGCTAGTTAATGGCATGAGCAGACGTTCACCTCTGAACGTAGGATTGGCAAAAGGCTCATAAAACCATCAATTATATCAAAGTTACAAGAGCATCTGACTCTGGAGGGTATAAATATGGATTCTGTTCAGAGATTTCTGGTGTGACAGTGGGGTCAGCCTACAACCTTTACAATGAACATCCTGTTCCTGCTTGACCTCTTGTCCTTTTTTTCCCCTTCTACTTAATGACTCTTTGGAGCAGTCTTGGAGCTTGAAAAAAGAAAGTCCTCCAAAGCTGGCTGACGTATACTGATACTGCTGGTGGCAATATATTTACACAGCCACAAAAAGCAGCTGCTCAGCTGAGCCTACTTTTAGCTTGCGCTCTATTAAAATGAATGCAAATCTAAAAGCGTATCAGCAGAATGAATGAGAAACTGAGATTTCAGCACAGCGAGGCACTGGGGAAGCAGCCCAGAAACGATGTCCTGCAAAGCTGCTGCTAGTTGAGTTTGCAACTAGTTGAGTTTGCTGCCTAGTTGAGTTGGCAACTAGGCTTTTAGGGTGCATTTAGGGTGCCCTGGCAGCAGAGGACTGCCGCAGCCTAGCCGCTCTCTTTCTCTCTCTCCCCTATCACTTCAGGGGTAGGTAACAAGCACAGAGCCGCTCTGGGGTACACAATCCCAGAACGCAAGTTCACAACACACAGGACAATTCTTTGCTGGGCATCTCCAGCTGCTTTGTATGTATGAGCTGCTATACAAAAATAATTGGAAGCACAGGTATCAAACCCACAGGTAACAGCACTAGATATTATAATTCTGGTTCAGGAAGCACTTTCCTGTTAAGCTCTTATTCTAAAGAGCTTTCAACTGTAAAGTGTCAACTTCCCCAGTTTGTTTTCAGCCCTCAGTTAATTAAACTGATCCCAATTTTTTCCTCATTTTAATTGTTTCTGCAAAGTGTACCAAAGAAACGGTGGCAAGCAAGTGTAAAGGATAATTATTTTTGGAAAGACTGAGGAAATCTGTTCAGATGTTTCTCCAGCTTATTTGAGTGTGAAAATGTTTTTCAGCTGTTCAGAAAAGGAAAAAGAAAAAGAAGTCCTGCTCAGATGTGTGCCTGTGTGTATGAGACACAATGAACTGGTTTAGATGACACACTTTGTGTCTAGAACCTACAGTGCTACACGGGTTAACAGCACCTTTCTTAATAAGAAATCCATTGCAAGTAGAGTGATCAATATGTTGTGCTGGGCAATCTTTTGTTCAAGAATGTTATTTTTTAAAATAAATTCTGGTCTTAAAATACTCAAAGTAACATGAATTCACAGGTTTAACAGTATAAATGGTTAGTGTAAGTCTAATCTCCTACACGCAGATGTAAATCAACACTACTTGTTTAAACATTGATAAAAATTAGAACAGAGTGAAGCCCAACATAAGAAGTATTTCACGTAATATTTACTGGAAAATTGCAACGGGGAGAAATGGATTTTGTCTAATGATTAAATACAGCATGCAGCCGTTGAATCTTCTATCCCTGGGGTAAGATAATTTGAAACACATTTTTTCAGATCAAAAGTGTTATGTTGTCAAATATAAAAGCCCAATTTAGCCTGCATAATATTTAATTAAGAAAACAGCATTCCATAGTGTGATTTTTTTTTTTTTTTTGAGTCCAATGCCCCTCGAGTCATTTTATCTCTTTAACGTCAAGATCTGTTCTGTGCGAGATCATGGGAAACACAGAATCAACTTTATTTTCATTACAGAAGAAGAAAACCTAAAGGGAATCCTATGAGAATCAAATCCAAACCCAACATTCTCCAGTAATCGTGTAATTTGAAAAGGCCATCTGCTCACTCAAAATGGAGAGGAGCATTGTATCTAACCCACTTGCTAATAAGGATGGATAATAGAGATCCAGGTAACACAGGACAGCTGCAAGAATACCTGAAGCTCTCAGACTTAAGAGAAGCCTCTTAGGGCCTTGCTATAGTCACTGTTTGCTCACCTTGACGCTTCTGTGATGTATCCGTGATGGCTGGCATTTCACACTGCTGGTGTTGCAACAGCCCGTGCAACGTTTCACCTCCACACAGGGTGGCCATATCAGGAAGTTGGCAGAGGTGGGATCAATCTGACTCCGAGGTATCTCATATATAACCGTCCGTGTTTTGCAGACAGCCGGGATGGCTTCCTCTGCAAGCAGAAGAAATTCACACTTCCAGGTGAACAGCTGCTCTCACCTCAGAGCACCCAGATACTCTACACCAACAATTTATGACTGGCACCCTTAGCTGGCGTTTTGAGACGGTGTTCTCAGCTCCCATTGCTTACTCAGAAGTTGGTGCTGAGTACTGTTGGCCTGCCATTAAACACTGTGTGCTACCCCAGAGAGGAGCCTGAGTCACTCCGAAAGGCCCTGCCCTAAAATGAGGGTTTATAACGGTCTGAGTTCCAACACAGCTCAGAGCACATACCATTAGTTAAGACAGCGCTGGCTCTTCAGAATTGACAGCAAGCCAGGGGCTTCTCCAAGTTAGACGATCCTCCAGTACGGCTTCATAGCCACTGCTCAACAGCAGCTGTTATTTTACAATATTGGGGCTATCATTGCATATATATACTGTCACACAAATGTGCAACACATTGCAAATACCACCACAGAAGTTGCACTGAGAATATTTATCTCACACCCAAATTGGCTGAGCTGGAAAACCACCTGCGCCAGCTTTAAATTTCTGAGTTCTGGGTTTCATCTTCCACAACCTTAACATCCCTGTATCGGAGAGCTGGCTCCATCCACCATCCCAAATGGCAGCTGCTCTTCTTTCTCAATGAAGTTATCAAAGCTTTGTACATGTTGGGTTTTATTTCATTCATTATTTTTCGAATGAGGCAAAATCACAAGAGTAGCGTAGCATGACCAATGAACCTGCCATGTAATTTTTAAACCAATATCCTGCTAGGCTCAGGTAAGGTGAGCTTGTAGACAACCATTCCAGCCACATGAGGATCAAAAAGAACAGCTGTGTGCTGCTGCAGGGCATGATGCTGCCACGAAAAATCCAAACCATGTATCTTTTCCAACAAAGGGACTGCCCAGGAAATACAGCTGATTAATTCAAGGGCAAAACAGTTCAGAAAATAATAGCAGAAAATAATAGCAGCGACAGGGACAACTTGTTCAGTTAAGTTCCCTGCAGGCAGCGTGGATTTTTTGCCTCTCAGTGGAAACAGGGATACCTTTGGGGTAGATGGGGTAGGAAACTGGGGCACTGCCTGTACTTCTTCAGTAACTTCTGACGTCTAAGAAATTCAGGCCTGGCCTGAGCCTGTAACATGAAAATCTAGGCTTGATTTTGGAAGAGAGACATTTTGGTGGGCTAAATAGAGCAGAAATTCTTCTCAGTCCCCAACACCATGAACTCAAGAAAATTAAAGGATCCAATACTGCAAATCAGTTGACAACTCCTACAAGTCCTGTTCCCCCTGACTTTTATGGGGAGGCATTCAACACCTTGCAGCGTAAGGGGCCAAGTGCAGCAGACTGTTTCAGAACTGCTGTTCTCTAGAGGCATTCAGTGTGACGAGTGTACTTGCCAACTCACACTGCAAATCCATGTTGACAGCACACTGTGCTATATACTTCATACAGTCATAGCTTAAAGTTAAAATATATTGACTCTGAATTACCTATAACAGGTAGGAGGAATATGAGTATTTTCTGCAGGCAAGTGGAACGCTAAAAGAGCCAGATCTCATCAGATGAACAAGCGTTGCATATAAATCCTGTTCTAAAATTAATTAACATCTCTTTAATTTTATATTTGGGCTTTGTTGGATAATCATCATTAGTGTTTATTAAGAAAAAAATCCCTTGTAAACATGCCTGTTGCCCTATTAGAGATGGAAATAAATGCCCCAGCACTTCTGTCAATCGCTTTTAATTTTTTGGATAAACTGTTTTTTTCTTTTAAATAAAGAGTCAAGCTGTTTCCTTTTGTACAGCTTCTGTACTGAAAACTCTACCAACTGTTGATGTTTTTTAAAGCACACTGCTGTAGTTCTTCCCCACACTATGAATTATACATTGAATATCACAGCATTTTCTAACCAAGATCTAGCTTTCTAACATGCTGCAACAAGAAAGTGAATGTAAAGAATTTGTGCTTGTCTGTCTCCTATGGACATCCTCCAGAAGACAGCTTCTCAGGCAACGGCTCATTTTGTGCACAAGAAAAGGCAGAAACTAGAAATGGCCTTTTTCCTTTGTACATGACGCATTTTTCCAGTGAAATGTCCTGCTTGGCTGACCGAAAGCACCCCCTCTGTTTTTACTCTCTATGTACAAATAGCTTGTTTCTTACCAATGCTTCTTTTTCTGCGAATGGGCACAGGACGATTCTCTTGCACATGTTTAGCAGAATGAACACTGTAAGATCTCAAGTTTGTTTCTGACACATCATCATACCCTAAAACAGGAAACAAAGCATTAAACCTCAGCTATGTTGTAAGCATGACTGTCACTTCGGTGCTATTCCGTACATATAAACGTGTTGTTCATACGCACAAGACCAAATTCTGCTGTAATTAGTCTAACGTAACTCCTGTCAGTGCAATTGCAAGGGCATAAGGCAGAGAAGACATTAACATTTAATGTCACGTATAAGCACGCACAATTTAACTCTAATATCCGTTTTCCTGAAAGCCCCCAGAAATAGTGCCTACGCTGAGACACAGACCCATATCTAAACTAAAACAGTTGCATTTTCACGTGAAAGGCATAATAAAACCCCTCTTACTGGAAAGGTATAGAAATAAGAACAATATATCCCGTACAATGTTTCTTAGAAGTTTCTTGAAGTTCTGGCATAAGACTACAGTACAAAAGACAGTATTTCACACCCAACAACAGCAACAATACTGCTTCTGTAAATTTTCTCTTGCCTGCTTTTCAGGACAATACTAGGGCAGAATCAAAAGCAAAAAGTAACTAGCATGGGCTTCCTTTTAGCCTCTCTGTTGCAGAACAAATCCCCTGTGAAGTATCCTAACCTTTGGAGGGGCATCTGAAGCTACTGCAAACTCTGGGACCGCATCCAGGCTTGTCTTGTTCCCTAAATAAGCCTACCACATGGGTTAAAGGGCCATGAGAAAAAGCAAAGATGGAAAACTTGGCATTTCATTTATCATAAAAAACAACAAAATAACTGCTCCAGCTATTTGGTTTTGTTAAGTGAAGCAGTCCAGGTCATGTCCCCTGCAGTGGGGTTCTGAAAGCAACAGCACAATCTGCAAACGGGATCAGGAAGACAGAAGCAAACTGGGCACCGCATATAGATTCCAGCACAGCTAAACTCAGGTTTTTAGCACTCTGCTGCTTGGAGTGCCCTCTGTAACATCACTGGAGGGTTTCAAGGTTTCACTACTGGTTCCAAAGGAAGCTGTGATATACACTAAAAAATGTAAATGGTTATTACACATTAATCAATTACCTTGACCACATGCTACCAACATCCCATAGCCCTCTGTCACACTCTGTTTAACCCTGCCATTCTCCCTGCTTCCAGTATGCACAGTTCAGAATATGCCCAGGTGACTCTAGAACTTGTTTTATGTTCAGCTTTGTTAGTAACACAGATCATACGGGACTGCTCTGCAAATAAACCACCTCCTTTTCTCCTCGCTCCAAGAAAACCTGCCCTAAGGAGCCTGCAACTGGTGAAATAACCTCCGGAGCCTGGTAAGACATGAGGACAATGCTATCCTCAGCACCTTAGAAAGAGCTTTGTGCCTTATGGTATATCTTCGCTCTTTGGAAAGTGGTATCATAGGTAGCTATGAGAAGATGAAATGGGAGATCCAAGAGGAGGTGCCCAGCACATCCACTGGTCCATCCTGCCTGTTCTTCTAATCAGCAGAACAGATCCAGGTCTGAAATAAGTCAGTGTGAAACCCAGGTTCTCAACTCACCCCAATAAGCAGGCCCCTACTGCCTAGGCAGAATGCTTGTTTCCCATTGACTTTCATGGAAAATTTGGAACCTAACTGATTTGCTGACTGTGGGCCTGATGTGCAGCCCCCAGTGCTGTAATGTTTGAACACAGCATTGACTAATGGGATTTTATTTCTGCTTTTATTGTACCCCATGCTCCAGAAAACTGATCAGTGGGGTAAATAAGATGGCTTGCCCGAGATCCTGCAGGAAGTTTGCAACTGAGCTGGGGTGCAGAGCCAAGCCTCCTGCATCCCCTTCCGATGGCAGCAGGCCATGCACCTGACCTCAAATGGTGTCATGCAAAATGAGGATCCGTTCTGATGTTCTTCCAGCCCTCTTCCGCTTCCTAATGCTCTGCCACCCAGTGCCTTATTACCGACCTCCCTTTTGGCAAGTTGTTGCAACCCCTCCTCATTTTGAGGCAATGAAGTGATGCTCCAAAGAAAGCAGCGCAAGTTTTGCTCCGTGTGAGACCCAAGCTAAGCTCAGAGCAAGAAGCTTCTCTGTCTGCATACAAACAGTGTTGAAAAAAAAAAAAGATTAAATGTAAAACTAATGCCTTTAATCCTAGCTGCTTGGTGGCACAGCCATCTTGCTGAAAAGAGAAGCCGTGGATGATGCCAGCTGTACGGCAGGCCTGAGCCACAGGTTCTAATCCCGTATTCAACACGCCTGCATAGCTCCCTTTTAATGTGACTGACTTCGTGCTGTCTTGTTTAAAGAAACTGGTAAGACCAAAGGAATAGTATGATCAGCTAACCAATATGTTAAGCCATGTGCTTATATATAACTGCTCAACTTAGGCGCAATTAGCCATATTCTATCATCGTGTTTATAAAGCAAAGTGACATGTCGAGGAGCATGTGTTGCTTATAAGACAATTTCTAAGGTGAAGAAGGCCTCTGGCTCATACTGTATTTTGCTGTCTCGCTACATATCTTAGGCATGTATATTATTTCATAGGTTCATGTCTTATTGCAGATGGGGATTTCTTAGGTTAAAAAAAGAGATCTACACAGCTAGCACAGCAGACTGCAAAACAAGTTCCAGTGAAACCTTAATGCATTATGCAATACAAATTGTTTTTTTTTTCTGTTGCCAAAGCATTGTTTTTTTTTTAATAAACAGCACTACAGAGCACGTGGTTGGGGTCAGACAACTACTATAATGCTGAGGGCACTTGGTCTCTCCTTGATCCCCATAGGCATTTGGAAGTAATTCCATTTCCCACTGAAGCCATTGGAAAAATCATTGCACTTAAGGGATCTTCAAGTCAACAGGAGTCTTGCCCAAGCAGGGCTGCAAAATCAGAAAGTCAGCTTTGAAACCTACACTTCGCTCTGGATGTGTGGCCAGAAGACTTTTTTTTTTTTTAAATTAGTTCAAACAATCACGCTACAATAATTACCACTTGCCTTCTCTAGTCTGACTTTAAAGAAGCCTGATACCTAACTTATGATCTGGCAACACCATTCCCCAATGAATCATGTCAGAATTCGCATCAGTTTCCCCAATATACTGACTATGAGCATGAAGTTGCAGGATGAGTTCTTTCGGCGCTTAGCAAAGAAAATGAGAGTTTATGGGTGCTTAGCACCTTACAAAATGAGGCTTGAAGCAGAAAGCTTAGAAACGGGTGGTTCTTAGTTTAGAAATTGAACACTGCTTGTCACTAAGCGAAGATGGAGGATGCTGCACTGAGCCAGATTAATGCAGCTCTCTTTTAACATTTTAATAATAAAAAAAATGCTTTCATGGCAGCTGATCAAGAAATTTCTCTGTAATCTTTTCCTTACTGACAACATTTCAGTGATGGGTAGAAAAACTCTCGCAATTAGCCTTGGTCAATCCATTAATGTAGCTGAAATTGTTCTTTTTTGTCAGATTGGCATTTTTCCACTAGGTCATGGAGTAGCTAATATATAAATCACACGGTTCCTGTGACATTCTGCCAGTGTGATTACTGTTCTCCTAAATAAGCATGTGGAAAGCATCCTAAGACTACTGTTATTTTATATTTATCTTTTTGTATTTCCACATTGCCATCTCCTTCCCAAACAATTATTATGTGTGAGGCACAATCCCAAATATTTGCAATCTTAGCACATACCCTTCTGCATGTCCTTCGATACACATCCAAAAAGTACAGGTCCAAAACTTCTAGGACCAACAGCAGCAGCTTAGGAAATTCTCATTCTCTCTTTTTTCAGGAATTCAGCGTAAGGTACAATAAACTGAAATGGTCTGTCTTACAATCGGTCCTAAAGCCAGAGAGCCCAAGGCAACGTCAATCTGTTTGTTTGATCTTCTCTCTGGCTGATGCAAAATATGCCCTTCCGACATCCAAATGCAGAGATAGATCTTATTAAGTTTTCAACTTTGATCTATTAAAGGAAATATAAGTAGCAGCCTGCAAGATCCTCTTTTGTTTAGGTTTTTTTTCCCTTTACCTAGACATGATCAACCAACTGTAAAGGAGGAGTATTCTCCATATGTGTCTTGGGGAAACACAAGGCACATGGTAGATGCTCGCCTCTCAAAGCTTCAGAGGTACAGAAGAGGTTAACACCTTGTATTATAACGTCTTTGATTTGAGCCCCACACCACCAACAAGAAAAACATTAAGTCAATAGAAAATTTTTCCAATGGATTGAGCTCTTGGATGCAATGATCTAACACTTTCCATAAAGGTAGACTGTTAGTACAGAACGTATCTCCACTTAACAAAAGCTGCTCTGCTAGTTCTTAATCACAGGCCATTAAATTCACATGGCCTAAGGTGACCCTGCGGTTGATGCCCTTAAACCATGCAATGAAGCACACTCAGCCCTGCACTTCCCCACGCAGGGAGACGACCGGGGAAAGTCTGTTCCCAGCGGGAGGCAAACATAATAGGTGATGAAATGAACTCTACCTCCCACAGGACAGATGGGAGAGGTGAATGAAGCGCGAGGAAAAAAACCACACTGCTAAGCCAGAGAGAACTTCACAGGCGGAATAAAGGAAATGCCCCCGTTTCGGTGATTTAGTCTGTTAGTAGTAAAACTGTGTACTCTGCACGCTACAGCTGCCTACTTCCTGGGACCATGCACGCTTTCTATTTTAAATAGGGTCAGATTCAGCTCTCCGTCACGCCAGTGAAACTCCATTGCTGCCTATGGATTCCAGTCGCAGCACATCTAACATAAGACCCTCTTCCTCGTGTGAACAGAGAATTTTCATGTTGCCTTCACCAGGATTTCGCTTGGAATCGGACATGCAACACTGGGCTCTGACAAATTGGCCTGGATTTTCTTTATTGAAAACAATGATAAGCTCCATGTTGGGTAGTGTTTTTCTTTAAGTAATATGCCAGATGGTCTGGGGGTGTGGTTTCTAATTTTATGAAGGGGGTTATCAGTCATCTCCGTGCTACAATATAGCGACCGAATCTGTCAGAATACAAGAAAAACCTGCCTACTCTGACTTACAGAACTTACTTTTCCAATCAAAAATATATGCTTTT